CTCTTATTTTACATATGTATTTATTGTTTTTATTTGGTTGTTTTTATAATAATTGATGTGTTTTTTAGTAATGAAGTTTGTTTTAATGTTTCGATAGGTTTTTGGAGCTTAAATGAATTAATTCACAAAATTCAACGTCGGAATTCAGAACAAAGAATTGAAGAGACATTTAGTTGAAGATTGAAGCAAATCTTGGTTCAAATAAGTGCTCCAAATTTGTCCCAAAAATCAATTCTATTCCAATTCTAGAAAAGAATATCATATGATTTATTTCAAGCCCAAACTTGCCTTATGTTGTGTGCAAACTTCAACCATTAAACACTCAAGGTTTCAATGTCAATCTTAGCCCAAATAATAAGTACATTTGTATACTTATTTGATGCTCAAATTCAGCCCAAAAATCAGCCCCAAATCAGCCCTAAATCAACCCCAAATCAACCTTCAAATCAACCCAAACACAATCCATGATCTTACATGTCCACACAACAAATAACAATTGATTTATTTTGGGCAATCCATTGATCCAAGAAGGCAAGCACATGGATGGAAAGCTGGAGGGGATATTTTAACATTATTTTGGGTCAAAAAGAAGAAGGAGACACCTCATAAATGAGGAAGAAAAACGTGCACCAAAGTAGTTGTAAAGCTGTCTTGATTTGATTTTTCAGAACACCTTTCGGTGTTTTGCCCATAACTTTTGACTCAGGTGTCCAAATGAGCTGTTCTTTAATGATCTGGAAAGGTGACAGAATTGCCTATAAATATGTCTCTAATAGACTTCTCCAAAAAAAGCTTCTAAGAGGGTCGAATTGCTGTCCAAAGTTAGAGTCAGATTTGTGTCCGAATTTTTTCTGAAATTGTATTGTGTTCTTCTTTATAGATTTCGGTTCTTTAGTTTGTAAAACTTATTTTTTCAGTTGGATTCAAGTTCTTTCATGTTTATTGAAGTGTTCTTATATATAATCATGGTTGGCTAAACTCTTTCTTGGATCCAAATCAAGGATAATGGTGATTGAGGTGAGTTCTTTAGGATATGAATGAATCTTAATGTTTATCTTCTTATTTTCTTCATGAATGATTTATTATTGTAAAGAAATTTTAGAAATCATTTAGGTAATGTTATAATCTTGAATTTTTATGCACAAACTTTAGTTTTGGTATAGAGATTGCTTGATTCAATGTCTTACTTAATATGAAAGTACTTGTTCATTCTTAAGCAATAATCAATTTTCATCCTTTTAAATTTCATTGTAATATCTTCTGATCTAATATCACCATCGTTGATATTAGGTTGAGTTATCTTATATATGTTGAAGAAATCACCAATACATCACCATTAAAATTGATTTGGACCAAGACTTACTTTTCTTGTCATTTAAAATCTATTTACATTTTTTTTTTATCTTTGAAAACAAATCCATCAATTATTTTCAACCAAGTTATTGTTAATTTAATTTCTCTTGAGTTTTTTTTTTTGTTACTTAGCTTAATTTCCAGATCTAGCTCTCTGTGGATATGACCTCGATCTTACCGAGTTAATTGCTACATCGCACACTCGTGCACTTGCGAGTTAAAACAAGCCGATCATAACAAGCGGTCAAGCACTGAACCTACAACATAATGGTTAGATAAACATGTATGTGATGATGGGCAAGGGATAGGTGGAGGCTATGACGGTTGGGCTAATTATAGTGGGAATATAGTAGATTTGGAAGGAGAGTAGGGTGGTTTGGATGGGGGAAGTAGTGGAAAACTTTTCAATCTGTTCAGAATTATCAAATGAAAGCAGACTTGATAAAAGATACAAATGCGTTGAGATGTAATATTAAAACATCGATAACCAAGGTGCGAAAAGTTGTAAAAGATGTAATATTAAAACATCGATAACCAAGATGCGAAAAGTTGTAAAAAAAAACACATGGAGAGGAATGAAAATCCAATTTATAATTGTTATAGGGACGAAAAAAGAAAAAGCAGAGACACCTAAAAATATGCTAAAAATGATAATTAGAAGACCAATAAAACAAACAATCAAATGGAGATCTATTTGTAAGAACAAGAGTAAGGATGTGATTTATAAGATAAACTAAGGTTTCAAATGAATAATTTCAAAATCAGAATGGTGTTTTACATTGCCCTAGAAGAGTAAGCATTGTTTTCATAATATACCTACGATGACGTTCTATGGTGCCATTTTGCTCATGAGTGTGAGACAAATCAAATGATGATGAATACCAATGGTTTGAAAGAAAGTGGATAATTTTCGGTATTCACCACCCCAATTAGTTTGAACAGATTTTATTTTTAATGAAAATTGACGCTTTACGAGAGTTTGAAATTGGTGAAAAATAAAGTAAACATCAGACATGGCAACAAGAGGATAATACAATATATATTTTATGTACGCATCAACAAAGATAAAAACAAATAAAACGCTAGCCTTCCAATGAAAAAAAAAGGAGCAAAACCTATACATCACTAAAAATTAATTCAAGTGGAGTAGAAGTTTTGTGACTCAATGATTTTTCTAATGAACAACTTTGACATTGAAAATTAAGACATTGTTTATCACAAATAATCTTATTTTTTTAGACTAATAATTAAAAAAAACAAGAGGTAAGATGACCTAGTTAACTATGCCATAAATCGGTAGAAGCAAAAATGCAGGGAGACTAATAGGTTTAAAGAACTAACATGATGGAAGATCTGGACAAAACATAGAGACCATCTTTACTTTGACCCGAGAGAAGGACTTCTTTGATGTTGAGATCTTTGACATAAAACACAAAAGGGTAAAATTTAAAATAAACATTGTTATCGAGATAAAATTTCTAAACATAAAGCAAACATTTTATGATTGTAGGAACATGAAAAAATTAGACAAAGTGAAAGAACGAAGAGTTGTATATATTTTTGTATGACCGATATGAGATATGGGGAGTCCATTACCATCACTAACGTGCAAATTATCATTACCGAGATATAGTTTTGAGACAGTCAAACCTGCAAGGTCAAGTGTAGCTTGTTGATTTGCACCGATATTTGTAAACTAATCGGTAGAACCTGTTGAGGAGATACTAGATTTGCACTAGGTTGCTATTTATAGTTTCAGTGCTGGAGTTAAGGGCAGTGAGGAGCTGTATAGTCGAATGTTTGGCATAATTAGCAGCATGGATTCTGCCCCTTATTACACTGCTAATTTCCCTGTCAGTTGCCTTACCTACTATCACTATTGAAGGAGATATAGAGGCTGTGGAAATTAGGTCTAGATGCAGTAGACATGTGCCCTCTATTGTTGAACTGGTTGGGACACCATCCTCCATGGAAACGGCCCCTGTTGTGACCAAAATTTTTAGGAGACTAACATTGAATGATAAAGACTACGAAGGGGGTGTTGGGAGTGGGCAATAGATGTGCATTGATGACAACAGACCCTATGGATGAAAGGGACATTTTATAAAGGAATTTATGTGTTAAAAGATGACCATGAAGATTAGCATACGAGAAAGTCTTTGCTTTGGTCATAAGACTTGTTACTAAGTCCTTAAACTCTCCTAGAAGGCCATAAAATACATATAAGTTGAAATTCTTCAGCAAAATAAGTTGGCCAACAACGGCTAATTCATTAAATAAGGCCTTAGCTTTTTGCATAAATTGAGTTACCGACTCATCAACTTGTTAAAGGTCTTGAAAGGAGCCATGAAGTTGCATAATATGAGAATTGGATGTGGAAGATAGAGCTTGCTCAAGTGTGTGCCAAACAGAACTTGAAGTTTGGTAATCAAAAACAAAATGGAGAACTTTCATGGATATCAAAGAAAGCAGAGCACTTAGAATGAGTTGATCTTATTGTTTCCAACAAAGAAAGAATTGATTTACCTGAAGAGAGGTTTCATCGTAACAAGAACATATAAAGAGGGACAAGAGTTTGAGCTATCAACAAAGCTGAAAACTCCTTAGCCTAGGAGATACAGCTTTATCTGCATTTGCTAATATAAATAATTGGTGTTTGTTAACTTGAGAGAGATGACATGGTGAGTGTGGAGGAGAGAGACAATGCTTGTGGCAGAAACTGTAGAAACACTAATAGAAGAAGGTTACAACAGAGGAGTATTGTTTCGGTTGAAGAGGGTGTCATCACCATCCGTAAGCTGTGGCCATAGCAAAAAAGAGGCATTGAAGAAAGCTAGGATTGCGGTAGAGGAGAAAACGAGCACCACCGATGCACATGGTGAGTGTGGAGGAGAGAGACAATGTTTATGGCAGAAACTGTAAAAACACTAATAGATGAAGGTTACAACAGAGGAGTATTGTTTGGGTTGAAGAGGGTGTCATCACCATCCGTAGGCTGTGGCCATAGTAAAAAAGAGGCATTGGAGAAAGCTAGGATTGCGGTAGAGAAGAAAACGAGCACCACCGATGTTGTAGAGAGAGAGACGGCTTATGGCTAAGATGAGAAGTCTATAGTAAAGGAGAGAGAAAGTGTTTTAATTTATTTAGAGTTCTAATGCTAAGTTAAGAATAATAAAATGACTTACATCATGCCTTAACTAACCTTTTTTTATTTATATATATGTTATATAACATAACAGTAATGATAGAGATCACAATATTGAAATAATTCTAAATTAATTCATATATATATATATATATACATGAAACTATATCTATTTTTGACAGGACAAAGAGCCTTAAAGTTTTTTTAATTTAAAATTAATATTTTTTTATATTTTTATATTATTTTGATTTGTTAATATTAAAAATAATTTTTTTAAATAAAAAAATAATCCTTTAACATATTTTTAAATATAATATACTTAAGTAAAACAACACTCTCAAACTTCCCGACATGAAAATTACTGTGTTCTAAATATATTTCTCTCCAAAATTCACACAACAGAGACCACATGAGTCATGAGTCTATCTCCATCTCCATCAGTGACTTAAATACAGAGATATATATATAGAAGTATCTACTTCATAACTGGTAAGATTTTTATTACTTTATTATTATAAATATAGAACTCCACTATTAGAAACAGCTTCGTGCTCGTTATTTGTCTTTTAGCCTGCCTCCCCTGGGATTGAACAACACTCTGATATTGGGTAGAGAGAGAGTGGGAGATGAGTGGTGGAAGTGAAGGAGAGACGCTTGAGTACACACCTACATGGGTGGTGGCTGCTTTGTGCACTGTTATAGTCGCCCTTTCTCTTGCTGTTGAAAGACTTCTTCATTATTGTGGGATTTTTCTCAGGAGGAAGAACCAGAAGCCCCTCTATGAAGCCCTTCAAAAAGTTAAAGAAGGTCTCTTTTTCTCTATCCATGCATTCACATTTAGCTTTCGTGTCTCTACCCTTTTGCGTTGTTGCATCGTATTCGCTTAGTTACATGGGAATGACCCTAAATTTCTCACCTTTTTCCCAAGTCTGAGTACAATACTAGGATTTTCTGGGGAATTGGAAAGTGGGTCCTATTCTGTTCTTGTTTCTTTTGATGATTAAAAGGGTCTTCGTAAAATAATGGATTTGCATTTTACTGTCTGACAAACGAATCTGTCCTTTTAATGTTGTCTTTATGAGAGTTATGTGTTCATGTTTTGCATAGACAAACATCATTATCGGTTTACCTGTGTGTTTTGATTGAGTTTTTCTTCTTTTTTTGTTGTTGACAGAGTTGATGCTTTTGGGTTTCATATCTCTATTGCTGACAGTTTCCCAGAACACCATAGCTAAAACATGTGTGCCAGAGAATGTGGTTAACGACTTGCTTCCTTGTCGCCTTAGTGAAAAGCAAAAAGAAAAAGGACATGAGTCCTATTCTACGACTACAACTAAACATTTTCAAAGCTTCTCTCCTGGTACCATTTCTGGCACTTTTAGGCGTCTTCTGGCTGAAGCGTCAGAAGCCAATCATGGTTATTGTGCCAAAAAGGTAGCATTTATTTATTTCCTCAACTATTATTGTTGTTGTTCTCTGTAAACGTTAACTGTAAGAGTGGTTTGAAGAGTAGAGAAGTTCTATTATTCTTAGAGATACATATGATGTATGCCATGTATGGTATTTAAATACGAACTCTCCATTACTTCCTCCTATACATAAGCTATTCAAAAATAAAAAACATTATCACCATCGTAACAAGATATCAGTTACAATCTTTTCTGTTTTGGCTGGATACTCTTGTTCCCTTGGCTGCCACTGTGTCATTAGAATCAGATTTAGTTTTATCTCCAATTTATTGATACACACTTGGGATTAATTTAGAACAGCAAGAGTTCTTCAATATCATTGTTTGTTGAAACGGAATTCTATGTTAGCGAGATTTATTATATTTGCAGTATGTTTGATGGTAGGAAAAAAAAAGGAATATGATTAACCATTTACTGCTATATTCTTGAACTAATCTGCGTAGCTATAACAATGTGAATTTCAATTTTATATAGCATCAATTTTCATAAATTTTATAATAAGAATTGGATTATAATCATTGTTTTTGTCCGTTCATTCTATTTATCATCATTCTTAAATGCTAGTGGTAAAAAAAAATGCCAATAGTAACTGCTCTTGAGCTATACACCTGATTAAAGATGACATGAGTTTTTAGTGATGTCTTTTTCATTTCTTAAAATCAATTTTCAATAAGGTGTATTCCACTTTAAGATAATGATGGTAAAATTTGTTTATTTTTTCCATGCTTCCTGATTGACTTTCTTGTTTCAATTATATGTGTATAGTATGGTCTTATTGAACTCCTTATTCTGTAAACTAGTATAACAACTGGGACATACAAGGTAGATGCTGATAATGTTGTGATATCACCCAGTACATAGAGGTATAAATGCTGGCCAAATTAACAGAGTTCTAAGGTAAAAGGTGAAGCAAGAATGTAAGGAGGGAAAAGAAGAACAGTTTTATAGTTTCTTCTTTCAGAATTGTGCTGTGGCACAGTTATGTGGTCTGATCCTATGCATTTTTATTTTTTTTCGCAATTCGTGTTTTCTTGACACTCAGGTTTCTTCATCTGTGCTGATAAATCACAATGCTTTCCCCCTCATCATTTCTCTTTTATTCCCTTTCTTCAGGGCAAGGTACCGTTGTTATCATTGGAAGCCATACACCATCTACATATCTTCATATTTGTCCTGGCCATTGTCCATGTAACTTTCTGTGTTCTCACCATTCTTTTTGGAGGTGCAAGGGTGAGAACCTAATATGTTTCTTCAGTTTTTGTTTAAATTTTAAGGTTGTCAGGGTACTTAATTTTTCTTTCTCAATGTTTTATGATTCATTTGTGATCAATTGCCATGATCTAGATTCGTCAGTGGAAACACTGGGAGAATGAAATTGCAAAAGATCGCTGTGATACAGACCAAGGTAAAGATATGTGCCAAATTTTTTTGCACCTTTGTCTTTTATTTGCGTAATAATTGGCAGCTGCATCTATTATTCATTTTTCTGGATACCTTGAAAACATTGTTGCTCACAAACTTTTAGTTCTGTCACTGGAAGTAAGATCACAGGTTGATCAAACAATGCCTTATTTCAGATTAACTTCGTGTTTAGTGGATGAGGGGAAAAATCTGGCTGACACAATCAGTTTCCCTTTCCCAATTTCTTGGAAAACCATTTTAGCAGTTAGTTTTCCTCATTGCTTCTAATATGAGAGCTTTGATCTTGCAGTTTTGCAAAAAAAGTTCACCCATGTCCAACAACATACTTTTATCAAGGAGCGTTTTTTGGGAATTGGTAAAAATTCAGCTCTGCGAGTATGGCTGGTAAGTCTGTTCCTCCCCATACCCAACCCC